AAGAATCCAAAGTCAAACCCTGAGACTGTGGTGAAAAGCAGACATGTCTCTCATCAACATAACACCTGGGATGGAAAATTCTGAATGTGCACCAGTAACCATGTTAAAAACCCTCTGCTGTGCTTCCGTTCCAGACACTGTTCTCACTGGGCTGCTATCCAAAACTCCCCTTGCCGCACTGCACTCTTGCTAGACACCGACTGTCTGACACAAAGTCCAAGCCGAGAGAAGTCAAAAGAGGCAGTTAAGCTACTGGATGTCTGTAATTTCTTTCTTCCTTTAACTGTGTGTACTCAAGTGAGAAAGGATTTTGTTTTTCTTAGCTGAAAGAGATTATCAGAAAACTCGAGAACATGAAAGTACCTTAAGCTGGAGACAGTTCAGATAKTTTTTTGGCTATGAAAGTTCTAAATAACTTTAGTACAAAGTCAGTATATAGCAGTGCTGGATATGTGTTAATATGTGATGTCTGGAATGGCTGCTGCTCTTTGTTTTTATTAAGTTCCTGTTAAGTTCCTTGTGAAAAAAGATGGGTCGTTGTGCTACATTTCCAACAAACATGGAGGAAAAGGCAGTTTCTTTCTAAACAGCTTTTATCTAACCACACAGGTGGAAGAGGAGTGGGAAGAGTTGTAAGTAGAAAGGATAGGCACTAAGTATACGTTGGCATTGAAATTTGAACAGGCAGGCAATGGAGGCATTGATGAAAAAAGACAAATGGGGAAAAATAGAAGAAGGGAGCAATAGTCAAAGAGAATGAAAAAGGAAGGAGAGTACATCTGCTATGGCTGAGGGGAAGGCACTGGGGAAGGTGTGTTGAGGCAGCTAGATTTTACAATGCTCCAAGGTAAAATTGCTATAACCTCTTGACACTGGAGAGCAGCGTATGGCAGAGCACACAGTTCTTGTTCCTTGGACCACCACTTGCTGCCATGGACAGCAAAATCTGTTTGCCTTCCTCTGGAGATGATGAATTCCTGTTTGGATTTCTCACACTAAGTGGGCAATATAATCCTTGATTTCATATAGAGTTCTCATAATAATGTCTCAGGATAACACAGAACTATGTCTATGACTTTAGTTACAGTAAGAGACTATTCCATGTGTTGATAATAACAGATTTGTGGCTTAACTGTTCCCAGTTTGAGTAATTATAAGTAMTTCTGTCAATGTTTGGTGGTCATCTCAGCACGCTACTGGCATTTAAGTTCTTTGTCAGTGCCGAGTGAGGAAAATTTAGCTTTGTATTTACCTATTTCATGATTTCTACTCCAAAAACTCTTCAGTTTTAACAAACTACTTATCCTCRTGGAAAGTGAGAAAGAGAGTGTGCTTTTAGGGGACCAGAGAAATACATAATTCACAAGCTGCATAATGACGGCTTTAAAATTTAGGGAATATGAGTCTACATGTGTTCATAAAATTGCAGTATGGGMTGTCCAGTAAAGTCTGTGCTTGCCCATATGAACTGAACTCCATCAAAAAACAGTCAGGCACAGAAAACAGACCGCTTTTGTGAAAAATACCTTTCCATTTCACAGTGGTTCCAAGAATAATTTAGAGATATCAATTTTTGGTCAGTTTTCTTGTAGTTATTCTTCTGACAATCTCAAGGATGTAAAGTTAATAAAAGCAGACAAGTCTAGGAATTGTCTCTGGCCTCTGCATATGGCAGTAGCATTTCTGCAGAAATCCTCCCCAGTCACTCAGACAGTATTCTGAAGACAACCTTGTACCAAGATAATATCCCTGAGGATCAGACCAGACAGGAATGAAGAACAAACACACATTTTACATTCATGTACATAGCAGGAGCATTAAAGATTCAGCTCCTTACAACAATATTTATGACTACAAGTAAATATTTTCTCTAAATTCACCTCTAATCTCTCATACTCAGGTGAAGTTCCCTTTGGTCTCTAGCTTTCACTAAAGATATGTGGTTAAATTCGTTTTGCTTGAAATACATTTACTTCTGCCTCCCTTGCCCTGACTTTCACTACTCACATACCCAGGTTTAATTACTGTGGAAGGAAACTGCTGCCTTACCTCCTCACCTCCTCACCTCCTTCTTAAACCATTTTTTACAACTTTCCTCCACTCCCTTTCATTACATATCATTATTTCAGATTAACTCCTTCTTTCCTCACATCTTTGTATTTCACCACTCCTTTTYCCAAAACATTTTCCCACTTTTCCTTTCAATTAATTTGCATGATAGCCTCAGCAGTCCTGGTGCTGACTGCTGAATCTTTTTTTCCAGACACTCTTTTGTTGCTTCTATACAGCTTTTTCAAAGCTCTATAGCTCAGCATAACTTTCTTAGCCAACCATATCACTTGCCTGTTTAAATTCTTTCCAAAACACACTCTAGCTCTTAAAATTCTGGTCTTTTTCACTACCTCAACCTTAATCTCAGAACTGAATCTGTGTTCTATATGGATGTTTCTGTCACCCACTTGTTATCTTTTAGATAGTCCTTGGCCGTAAAATTCTTCCTCAGCATTCCCTATTATATTCAGGCCTGTGTCTTCATTTTATTCCAAATACTTGGAAAGACATTTTCTTTCATATGAAGGCCACACTATTAACTTGTCCTCTCTCTAAGAAATGAAAAGACTACTCAGGTTACCTGCCAAGCACAGCTGAGTTTCCTTTGGTAGGAGGCAAATATGCTAAATCATACCAGCAAAGAAACTGGCTGAAATGCAAGTTAACTTCGTCATTTAGAATTTCTCACTGTGCTTTGATTTATCTGTGTCTTATCTTCTGGAGTTTCAGCTGTGAAGGGCATGAATTGTCTTTATCACAGTACTGAATATCATTGCTATGGCCTCCATTCTTTCAAGCTGGTAACTAATGAGATACTCATGAAATTCCTAGCGGGTGTTTTGTTTTAATACCTCATCTGTTTTCAATGGGAGGTTTACCTGACTAAAGTCTTCCACAAAGCAGAATAATTTCTTGTTCCCCCTACCAGGTAACAAATGCCAGCTTAACACATCAATCTATCATCACATAATTATGTATTATCTGTAGTCAAAAGCCCCAATAATAAATTCTAATCTCTTTAGAATGATAAAGGAGAAAACTAATGTGAACCTATTGCTAATAAAAGTGAATTCCCTAAAAAGCAAGACCTCTTTATACCTTAATAACACAATGGTCCTTCTATCCATCAGTCTGGAAACTCAGTACCTCTTGGTGTCACGTAATTTATTTTGTTCTAACAAACCTGTTAGTAAAGTGAGCCCTACAGCTGTTGAAGAGAGAATTGTGGAGTGGGAAAACATTATGTCTGGTTCTGCATGGTAAGCAGTGTTATGGCCAGAGGCAGAACTGAAGCTGTTTTTTGGAGCACTGGAGCATGAATTTTGAAGTGCAACCCATGCTTTTGCTAACAGGTGAGAGTTTAATTCAGTTGGTTGGACAAAAATAGAGGGACTGCAGCAAGACCTGACTCTGTTCTCAGTTCATCTGTAAGTAATGCCAGTATGTAAAAGAGGAAGTTTTAACACATTGTCCTGATTCTGGCTGGGACGGGGTTAATTTTTGCAGTAGCCAGGATGGGGCATGGCCAGGACCTGGAGGTTGTTCTCTACCACTTAATGGCATTTTGCAGAGATGGGTAAAGGGTCCCTTTGGGGTCAGGTGGTGTGGCAGCACAGTGGGGACTGTCAGGGTTGAGCACTCACATGTGAATCACTGCCTGTTGTACTCTCTGTCATTGGTATTGCTGCTGTTACTGTTCATTTTCTTACTTCATTGCTGTTTACAGTAAATTGTTCTTATCTCAACCTGTGATCTTTACCTTTTGTGCTTCCAATTCTCCTCTCCAGTCTACCACCGGGGAAGGGTAGAGGGGGAATGTGGGAGGGAGCAAGAAGCTCACTGTGGTTGGGAGTGTTTTTGTGGGAACACTCAGTTGGGGAAACCATGACTCACGTCTTGTTAGGAAATGTGGGATWTGGTTACCTGAAGTAGAGGCATGTCACTTCCCTTTACAGCGATCGGCTGTGTGATATGCCAAAGGCTTCAAAAATTATCTGATGTAACTTCAGGAAGTAGTGTCACTGGGTAACACCCCATAGGCCATACCCTGAACTRCTGCACCAGATGGGATTCACAGTGGGCCCCAGGCTCTCCTTGCCCTAATTATCTTTTCCATTTTCTAGGAGAACCAAGAGTGTTTTGCTGTCGTGGCTCAGTGGTACCTTTTGACACGGACACACAGAAATCCACCCCAAATCTTCTCTCATAACTTACCACAATGCAGCTCTATTCTAATTTTGGGTTATCATGATAGTACAGAATATTGCTCATGCCTGGGAGAAAAGAGTTGCCTGAAGGCTAGCTGAAAAATAAATAGGGCTAGCTGAAAAACAAAGAGCTATTTGCCAAATATAAATGGAATTAATTTTGTTGTGATCTATGCAGTGGAGTATGGTACATATCTGATATTTCCCTTAATAGGCAGGAAGAGCAGTGTCTGCTAAAAGGAAGGGAAAGCACTTGCCATCACCACTTTCTTTCMCAGATTTCTTCAACTCTTGTGGTAATTTAAATTTTCTCTTTCATCCTGAGTAAGTGTTGAGCTTTGCTAACACCAAACTCACATTTCATTACACATGCCTGTGATAATTGTTCTGTTGGCAATTTAAAGGCTGATTAGTTTTTTGTTACCTGTAATTACAGACAGGTACTCTAAAYGCCGTTTTACTGCCAATCTGCTGCTCTAGTCAAGAATAATTTAGATATTTCTCTTGTAATTGAAAGAAATTGCTGATGGACAGGCAATGTGGGTGATGGCTGGATGCCATACATGTTGTCTCATGGCAGATGATACCAACAGAGAAAGGCCCATGCTCTGCTTGCAATGGCAGGGCTTGTTATGTCAGTTAATTMCCATTTGTTGTTAATCAATTACATTCAACCAACACTTATAGTATCCATTGACCTGTAAGAGGGGTGATGGTTATTTGGCACAGCACACTGTCCTTTTAGTCCCTGGGCTCTTGGCAGAAGACACAGGCTGCTTTCTGATCCTCTCCTGATTCAATCTGAATGGTGATGGAGTGGAAGCTGTGGTGCTCAAACAGGGCTTGGGTAACATCTCTCAAAATCTTCTGGCTGTCTGCTGTGTCTGCTACAGACAGGAMGCAGAAAATAATCAAAACACATACCTTTTGATAATACTTTAAAGAAGTATTGTATACTTGTAATATAGACATTGATGTCTAATACAGATATTGCATTTTCTAGGATAGACAGAAACTTGTAAGGAGAAGTTGGTTTGAAAAGTTTCTTGTCCTTTTTACCCTCCTTTCAGGAACCTWCATGTCAGCAAAAGTTTGTTCATTCAAATGTGGTTGGAATATGCATTTTTTGGCAAGAGTTAAGCTAAGAGTAATCATCATAGAAATTCAGTCTGGCAGAAGACTGGAGGAAAGCAGAAATACTTAATAAAGATTAGTTCATCCAGTCAGGGAGTAGCAGCAGTGCCAAGTGATTTGGGTGGCYGATAGACCCTCTGTTTCTGGGAGGCTGAGACTCCATGGAAAACTTTTCTAGACCTGTCCTTGGCCAAACACAGGTGGAATTATTTTTTCTTAATACATAAAAAGCAGGCAGACAGTTAAGAAAATTGATCTGGGTAGTGAACAGCTTGTTTTCTGGGATGAGAGCTACTATTTAAAATAATAWTTTAAAATATGAACTAGAGCTACCTCTACACTCCATCTATTTTTAAGGATTGTTTTACTGATGGAGATATATCAGGAATGCAGATTTGCCCTGTAATTTTTCTTGTAGATATCAACAATTTTCAAGTGTGACAGAAATTGTGAGAAAAATCCAGTTTGAATCTAGTTCTTTTAATTTAAAGTATTTTGTTATTTACTGCCTCATTCCACAACCTCTACAGTTTTCAAATTTTGTGYTAAGTAGAGGTCCCTGTTGTTTAGGCAAGGTTTCTGGGAGGAGGATCTGAGAGTTTTATTTGTTATTGTTGTTGGTTTTATTTTTCCAACAAAATTAATTACTTTTTTTTTTTCTTTAACAAGCAACAGATATACAGTCAGTTTAATSTGAATCAAGAAAGGCTGATCTTTACTATACAGTAGCTGAATAGTCACKCTCTGCTCACAGAAGTTTACTGACCTGTGGCAACGTGAGCAGAGAGAGCAGTTTGATTCATTGTCAGACACCAAAGATGAAGGTTGTGAACAGACTCCACTTTTTCAACTGCTAAAATTCTTTCTTTCACAGCATCATAAGCAAATCCTTTTGATGCTCCTGAATAGAAAAATTGATGGGAAAACACTATTTTTAAGGGATAAGAATGATGACCAATAGAGAAAAATGAATCATGAACTTTTATTCATTTAGATGTATCATTTTTATATAAGTATTCAATGCTTTGGAAAGCCAATCTATTTCAGAGTTCACTGTGAAGTTTAATCCTATTCCTTGCTTTAAACCACTCCATGGGAGGTTGAGACTCATCCATGTTTTAGGGGACAATCTGAGTGCCCAGTTTACATAGGGTAGTGATCTATTTAACCAGTCATGTCCTAGTTTTGCACCATCACCTTTTGTGTGTGCATCTCTATGCCTGTGTGAACAGCTATACTCATGCTTCTCTTGGATCAGTAAATTGAAAGAGCAGCTCCCATTTCTTTCCAGAAAATCCTGGGCTGAATATGCTACTTAGGAGATAGGGACTCCCCAGAGAGCTCCCCAGGAGGATAGAGGGCTTGGTGCAGAGGGGAACAGAGCACTCTTGTTAGGTGTGTTAACACTGCTTACAGAAGCTGGGAGTCAGGAATCTCTGCTTAGAGAGACTCCTGAGTGTTAGGGGTTGCTCCTCCATCCTGGTAGTTTGATTTTATTTTCCAGTAATCAAGAGATTTGATTTTTTGGCAGCCAAAATATAGTCAGTTGYTTCACTCTTATCAAGGTATACTTCTACATGGAATTATCTCTATCTCACAATCGCTGAAAGCAAACCAACCCTAGAATGAAGCTACAGTAAAACAGTATTGGAAATTTTATTTCTTGAAACAGCAGTAGGTGCAAAGTGAAAGACAGAAGAAAYAGTCATGCAGGCAATCACACTGAGTACTCATTATTCAAAACCTGCACTGTTAGAGCTACTTTTCCCTTTAATCCTCTTGTCTTCATAGCTGAGAAAGGTTTGCATTATATTATTCAGTGTGAGGAAGGCAAAAACACGCATCTGTGACAGCTCAAGTCATTTGACCTTGCAAATCAAATATTCAGGCCCATAGCTGACAGGATTAAATATTGCTAAGCCTGGCTCTTCTTGCTGCTGCTGTGCTGAGCCTTGTCTACTCCCATGCACTCGAATGCAACTGGAAAGCTCCAATAGCTTGTTTTTCTGGACTGGCRTAACTAAAAGTCTTTTAAACTTCTGTTTCTTGCACTCAGTCTATTTCACAGACACAGTTCAAAGCACAGTCAAAGCACTTTTTCTTGACAAAGATTTGTATTTCACACGGGTAAAGGAAATACACAGCAAACAAGGTGAGTAGGCCATCTCATATGCCAAAGGGGTCACAGAAAGCAATGCTACAYGTATGACAAACAAAAGCAACCCAGAGCTCATGAGCAAAACACCAGTACATGGATTTTTACAAAAACTGGCATATGTGTAAACCTAATGTATAATAGAAAATAGTTTTGGTGAGAATTGGAAGTAGGTTTAAGTATGATCAGAATCATGAGATTATTGGAAACTGATACAAATACGGGCTATTATACTTTTTGCAGCACATATAAGCATTACATAGAAAGCAAGAGAAGAGAAAATCAAAATAAAAGGTCCTACCTTCCATTAACACAGTCAAAATATCCCTTAAAATCGTGATGGTAGTTGCCAAAACAAAGATGGAAAACACGAATGTGCAGATTGGGTCAGCTATTTTGTACTGTGGCTAGAAAAATATGAACACACCACTTTTTTAATTTCACTATTGTTGTTTATGTCATTTTTAGTTAGTTAACATGAAAGAATAATATATTCCATTCATCTAGCACAGAATGAGTGCTGATCTCCTTTGCCAGCACAGGGAATGAAGGTGCTACAGATGAAAAAGGGGAGAGACACAAGTGTCCATCTAAAAACMAAGAAGCAAGTGTTACCCTCTCAACAGCCATTTCAGTTCCCAAAAATCATTCTCTTTGACTCAATTACGATGTGTGTGATTTAGACAGAGGAAATATTTACACAGTACCCACTGTCACAATGCTGTGAAATAACACTTATCATTGATTGCAAGGAAGGCACATGAACTAGCAAAACTAATTAAACCAACCTTAAAGAAGATGATCAGTGCACTAAYTAGCACACTAACACTCTGGAATAGATCTCCCATGGCATGCACAAAGGCTGCCCGCAGGCTGGCATTGCTCAGAGCTGGCTTTTCCAGAGGGGCTGACKCGTGTTCCCTGCCTGGTGCCCCATGGCTGTGCCCGTGCCCGGTCTGGTGCAGAATCACACTCAGTCTGCAAGAGATGAACAGTGGATATATTGCACCTCTGAAAGCAGTGAGGTCATGCACATCACCACCCCTCTCACTTCTGGATATGAACAGCAAAATCTGACRCATGAAGTAGAAATGCAGAGTGGCTGAGCAGGTAATTCCTATGTTTTCAGTGATTTGCATGAACAAGAAAGTCTGTGAATGGGGTAATTAATGAGGCTTCCTTTTCTATATAGGTTCTTGAATGTTCTGACATCTAATAAAAAGTGAGATGGAGAATAATCTTCTCCTGGAGTTTTTGCATTCATAATTTGCCTTCCTGGTGTGGCAGCTAATAGAAAGTAGGAGAGCAACTACAACTTTCAATGAGAAGCAGGACCTCTCTTTTTGACCACTTTCCATATCCTCATGAAACTCATAAACACTTCATATTTTTGAAGCCATTATCTCAATACAGGTTTGTTTGGGTTTTTTTTTTTTTTAATTGAATTACAGGAGTAGGGTCAAGGTTCAAATATGAGAGGAGAACAAAACAACTTACAGGATGTTGGAGAGCACGGCACAAGCTGAGGTGATGAGCATCACTGTAGCATCAATATCGTAATCTGGGTGTAGCAGCCTCATGCAAGCCAAATATGTCAACACACCGGTCACCATCCAAATAATTACCATAGACATCAAAGCTCCCAGAATTTCTGTGAAATAAAACAATCTGATTTTAGCAGTCAGAATAGTAATGCAAGAAATTTTAAGAAGTTGATTATATGGTTCCAGGTTTGTGAGCTGTATAGCCAGCAGAGCTGCTTCTTGCATGTTGGCAGTCTTGATACTCACAAAGAATGGGCCAACCTCCTTTCTGATCATAACAAATCCCATGGTGACCCAGGATACCCTTATAGGTGTGGTGGCCTAACCCTGCTTTACCTGCTCCTACTTTTGTTCTCTTTTCAATGCTGAGTTTGTGCAACATTCTAAGAAATTGGAGAGATGAAAAAGATCATTTGGGAAACTCTGGGAGGAGCAAAAGGAGTTTGCCTGGCCCTGACAGTGTGGTGTGAAGCCCACAAAGGCCAGCTCTCCTCCCCCAAGAAGATTATTTTCATCATAAGAGCAGAGGTCRGAAGGAAGGAGAGAGGCACAGCTCACCCAAACCCACTGCCAGACATAATCCCCCTCCATTAGCCTCTCCTGTTTCTGTATCCCCCTCACCACTTCACACTTCAGAAAGACAGTAGCAGCCCCCAACAAGRTCCTGTCAGCAAAACTTTTCCTGGAACTCCTCCTGTCAATGCCACAAAATCATTTTTGTGCCACCAGCTGTGATGAGAAAAAAAGAAGTTATTTTTTCCCCRGGGTAGCAAAATTTAATTTTGTCTCTATTGGCTTTGAGTTGGGCTCAAATAAATCCAGTCCCCAAGGCCACCTTTTATTGCTCTGTTATAGGAGAGGTCCAAGGAAGTGCATATGAACGTGCAGCATGCTTTTAATAGGATATGGGATGAGTAATTGCCATGTGACTTGAATGGGTAAATGAGCACAACCAAGACAATGCTAAAGAAAATGCAAGCTCACAGTAAAATGAAAGGCAGTAGAGAGCCAGAAAGCATTTGCACAGACCTCTACTGACAATCCATTAAAACAGCTTGTGATTTATTATACAATGTTATGAGCATCACCCCTTTTACTGGCTGCAAAAGCTTATCAAATAACCGTTTTGCCTAAAACTGGAAAATAATAAATGAAAGTGCACTGACAGGGAAATCTAGTTTTGCTTAAAAGTAGATAGAGGCTCATATGAATCATACAATTTTTTTTTCCTGGGAGTTGAAGGTTGAAACCCTGCAAACTTGGCCCAGCTGAAGGTGTTGATGGCTGTGCTATCRTTGGTATAAAAGCAGCCAACAGCTCTTGTGAATACCTGTACCCACCTGTGTGAGTTTACACATATCTTCCACAACAGAACATGTTAGAGGTCATCTTTGCATATCACTTTTCAATGGAGWATCATAGCAAAAGTTCAGCAAAGCTTGCAGACCAGTTCAGCAGCAACAAATTCTTCACCCAAGATGTTCTCAGKTACTTTTTTTCAGAACTACTAGCACTAACAGAGCACAGCAAACAATAGTGTAGGATTATGTGGGAATCTCTGAGTCACAGTTGAGGGAAATTAAGGTGCAAGACAGCTTTTGTACCCRGAAATAGGCTCACACTATCAGTCCTATTCAATGTTGTGTTTCCATCTGTTTTGCTTAAAGTAGCTGCAGTGCTTTGATGTGGAGGGCAGGAGTTGTTCAGATGGATTCTGCTAAACCTGAGCACTGCCATACACGGGCTTTTTGTGAAAATATCTGTCACTGAGGGAAGCAGTGAAGAAACAGCTTCCAGTGTCATGGAGGGCTGCACCTGCATGACCTTGATAGTCAGTGAAGAGTGGCTTTGCACCTGACTGCCCTCAGCYATTCTATTAAGGTACCCACCTGCATATTAAACTGAAAATATAGCTGGGAAAATAAGCAAGAAACAGGATAACAAGCATGAAATTAAATTAAATAGCTTCTAAAATTTGACTCGAGGCTCTCTTTGCCACCAGGATAAAAAGGCAACAAAGGATTGGCTTTTAAGTTCTGCATTGCAATGACAAAATAAAAATAATTTAGTTCAGACTGAGRATGAAGTTACATGAGGTGGTGGAACCTGCCTACACCAGAAAGAGAGGTCTCTCTTCCACTTTTCCTCCCCCCAGGCTAAGAGATCATAAACATAAAAAGTAATGGTGAATTAACTGTTGTTAAGTAGCAGTTCACTAATGCTGCGAAATTCAGCTGCGTGTTGTCTACACAATGCCAACCAGGCTTGAGCCACACTGAACCTCCCACTCACCCAGCAGCCAGTTTCCAGCAGAGCTGGTGGAATATGCYTGGGGAGCTACAGAAAGGCAGGATGAGTATGGAAAATGTCTTCCCTGTTAYTTCCTGCAGCTACAGCCAACCTTGGCCCATGGGTACGTGAGTCAGAAGCTGCTTCTGGAACTGACTACTGAACATCCTTGAATCATCTGAGTCCTCAGAGCAGRTGCACAGGTGTCCAGAGCCATTTGAGATACACTGACACCTCCATGTGGTTTGACACAAGGTGAATAATTGACCCACAGATTGCCAGAGGGGCAGCTGCATTTGAAACAGCACAAATCATTTACRTACAAGCAGCTGAGCTGATCCCTGAGACATCCAGTATAGATTCACTTCCAGACAGAGACAACTAAATTGTCTACCCRTAGGCATTGGCTGAGTGTCTAATCTCCCTCTGGGGACAATGGATATCAAATTAATGGTGATTGACACWGTTCCCTGTTCCACTGTCTGACTTGGAACACATACTGGTTTCTTAACTATGAGTGTCTGGTCACATTTGACATGGCCTGGTCTTGTGCTTGGCATCCTGTGCAGTCTCATATAGGTCTTGTGCAACAYCTGCCCTTCCTGTGCATAAGCCTCAGACATCCTGGGGATGTAAAACTGGACTTCCATGTTTAGGAAGCCAAACTGAGTCAAGATTTCTGTTCAATGTATCAGAAACCTGGACCCTGTGCTTAAAGGTGCTCATGTACATGTAGACATTGATATTTAGGTGTCTAAGTCTTGAACAGACTCATACTCCCAGAAAACTATTCTCATGGTTGATATTTTGCTAGTGTCTTATCTTTCATTTAGTACCAAAAGCCTGACAATCATGATTTTACACAAGAGTGCAAATACACTTGTGCTTGATGTTCAGGTTTTTGGTACTAGATATTATCTGCAAAAATGTTGTTTTAGGATGAGGACAGAGTACTTTAAAAACTTGCTTGTGTTTGCATCTTATAAAAACCAATAGCGATARAGAGATATGAAAGGAGAAAAGGAGAGGATCTAGAAAAGGGCAAATGTCAAAGGATCTCACTGTCCTGAAACGTAGTATTGTTGAGTTTTGAAAATTTATTAATTTGCTTTAGAAATTGAGTAAACCCTCATTTTTACGGTTGTTGTTTTTTGTAGAAACTTGTGTTTCATAATGGCTTGAGGGCTCAGTCCCCCACACACTCAAGTCACTGAAAGAAGTTGATGTYGTCTTAACCAAAGCTAGCACCAGCCCAGACTATGGTAAATAATGAACCACAAGACATGATTTTAGATAAGAGATGTGTATGGTCTTTACTTCTCTGAAGTTCACTGTCTCGTTCTATTTTGTGTCCCAAGAGCTGTGGGAGTAGTAGTGCACTGTCTCTAAATGCCTGCAGACCTGTGTTGGACATCAGCATGTCCTCCAGTCCCTGSCCATGACAACTCCCCTTTCCCATTCCACACATTCCTACTGTGACATGTTTGCTACCTGCTCGGTGCCAGCCAAAAGTGAACTGCTTGGTAGGAGGTTTGGAGGCAAGCCAGAGTGAGAAGAGGCTGATCAGGAAGCTTGTCAGGTCCACCAGGACGTGCGCTGCGTCGGTCACCACCGCCAGGCTCCCGGCGATCTGCCCACCTGTGTGAAACACGAGTCCAGATCATGGCTCTGCTCACAAGTTTGAGCCCACCAAATCAAACTCAAGACTGTTTTCCTGAGAATCAAAGGGAATACTCAATTTTCAGTCAACATGCACAAGACCCAAGCCTCTTCAACAATAATTCCATTTTGTGCCTCATTCATACAGTGAAAGGTATGAACTAATAGAAACATATAAGTCAAATTTCTTCAGGAGACACCTAAGAACAATAAGCAYTGTGATACATTAGTTCTATAGTTATATTACTATTGGACTGTTYGACTATTTTAATATCAGGATTTTTTAGTGAAAAGTCATATTAGGAACCACATTTCCAGTATTCTCCCACTACCTTTTCACAGAACACTGATATTTTTATGTATGTACAACAACTCAGAGACTTAGCTTATGGGATTCATTTCCTATTTGTTACAGGAAAATATGYTCTTCCTGAGGTTTGGATTGCTGCACGCCTGACTGCTTATTTGTCACAGGCAACAATAAAAGAGGAATACATGGAAAGGTCTCAGTAAAAGAACTATGGTAAGCAATCAACGATTTTAGTGAGGGCATAGAGAAAAATGTTCTGTTTTTAGGACTAATCTATCATTTTGAATCTGTAATGCATGACTTAATTTTCCTGCTAGAGCTCAAAAAATGTGGCTGAATATCATTTTACTTTGCAGAGCTTTGGGTTTATGTGGATTCTGAAGGAAAAAGCCCCACCAAATTCAAAACATATTAGATTATTGTAAAACACATTTATTTTACCCAGTAAGTCAAATGTCATTATTTTGCCAAATTTTCTAATCATGTCTCAGGGCTAAGGACAAATCCAAATAAACTAATTGTTTGCTCCAAACTGCCAAAGCTGGTGGTGGCTGCAGGAGAAGAGGAGGGTCCCAGGCAGGCCACTGTCCTTCCAACTTACAGCAGGAGAATCTTTTCTTCAGACTGCAAATGTAGAAAAGTATATGTGAAATAATAGAGCCAAAACACCCATTTTCTGCATTTGGCATTACATTTTCACTCTCCGGTCATTTAATTAATTTTAGCTCACTCATTTCTCCTGACCACAACCCATATGAGAATCAATGAATCCTGAAAAACATCATAAAATGCCTGATTCAAATCTTTGGCAGCATACCACTGCCAAAAGGACATGTAGATATATCTTGTTTCCTTATAGTTGGAGGATTTTCATGCCAGCAGGATGGATTGTCTCTTTAATTTTCTCCTGTATGCATATTTTAATTGGAATACCCAACACTATTAGTTTTTTCAGTGTAGGATTTTGCTCAAAGTTACTTCCCAGAAGGGAGAAAGGACAGCTGCAGAATTAGGGGGCATCTCACTCCTTGTAGAAAAATGAAAAATTCATCAGAATAAGTATTTCCCAGCACACGCTCAAGTATAAATGCACAGATATTTTTTGGTCATGGCACATCTCTTAGACTTATCACTGTTTGCAGGGTAACTATCTCAAGAGGGAGGCAGCTTTGCAAAGCAGGGGGAAGGAGGCTTATCTAACAGTGCCCAGAGATTAACAACCAAGGCATCAGATATCTTTCAGCAAACAAATATGTAGATCACAAGCTGTGGGCAAAACCCTATTGTATTTTATATACTCTATTTCCGTGTTCTGTGGGATAGCATCTCAAAAGCTTGCTTCTAGCCTGCTGTCTCTGAAAAATGTTTRCAAACCATTATTTTATGTATGCTGGCAAAACTAGTGCCTCGGGTGAGTTTCAGAGATCTCAGTCTCTGCTTAACTTAAAAACTTGGCTCAGTGATGATTTTTGTATTCTGCTCTGACATGAGGTTGTATGCAGGGTTTGTCTCTCTTCCTTGTGCCCGAGTGGAAGTGTTTTGAAATTCACATTTGGTCCTCAACTACCTACAATCATTTGAAAGCACTTTCATATCTGGGCTCCACACAGGGTAATATTGGTCTGACTGATATCTCCAAATCTATGGAGATTGTGGTGGATTTGCCCTAGAAGAACAAAAACAATTGTCTTTCCAAGATGGTGTGTCAAACTCAGCCAATAGTGCCCCCTTTGAGAAAGCAGTAATGATGGGCCAGCACAGGTGTTTTGAGAAAAAATATTATGGAAAGATCTWGGCATTCAAAGAAGCACAATTTTTCAACTTCTCTGAGAGTGATGCAGCTTTGTTTCTTCTATTTAGCATAATAATGCCCACAAAGCTGTTTGCCCTAAGAGGGCAAGGAGCAGAGGGGAAGATATTCTTTATTTTCAGGACCTGTGTCATAGTTATAGGCTTTTACAGCTTTTTGTCAATACTCCCAACAAGTGGCCATTATGACTTACCATCCCTACAATGGATGATAATAGCTTTATATACCACAAGCAGTTGAAATTGTCAATCACTCAATGGTCAATCATCAGACACAGCAGTCTTGCCTAACGATTAAAAAAATTAAATGTATGGTTCATAATTACAAAAATCTCCATAGAGTGCTGTCGGTAACTGCAGTTAATAACTGGTTTGTCAAAGTTTAATGGTCTGAAGCAAAACGGTCTTCAAGCCCGTTACTTAAGCTGTCACTGCAAAAAAGCTGCAAGATTCATTAAGCAAAACGAAACATTTAGTTAACATACCATCCGTCCTTCCAATTATCCTCTAGCACAGCCACATTCACCAAAYTTAAGCCCACTGATTATATGGTTTTGTTAATAATGCATTACTTCTGGCACTGGGAATTACTGCATAGGGATTCGCAGCATGCACTGTTTTCGTGGGGGAACGCACATGATCTGCAAACAACGGGGCTTCATGCACAGGGAGCACGTGGGAGGGAAGAGTTGGAGAAGTCCCCGCTGGGTTTGGCAACCAGGGGAGAAGGCAGAAATGCAGCAACTCTTTMAGTGCCTCCACTTCTCACCTGCAGGGAAGACAAAGCCTTTCTGTTTCATTTTCATGGGGCTCCRGAGATGTCTGAACTGAGAAAATATGGGTTTCAGAGGCCTTCCTGGCTGATTTTTGTTCCATCGGCTGGAACACATCTGTCAAAAGTCTGTGGGATTCCTCATGCCTTCCCTTACCTCAGCTCAGTGCAGAAAAGGGCAAGTTAAAGAGCCAGGAACTATCAGGTGGATATAAATATCATAGAATCCATGGAGAGAGCAGATCAGTGAGACAAAATGAAAGCTAATGCTCTATGAGCAAGCCAAATACTTATATTGGATATTGTAGGGTGGGCCCAGAAGTGAAAGCTAATTAGGTAGGGGAATAATCTTTCATTGATCCAGAGACACACCAGCAGGCCAATTTAAAAGATAAACGTGCCCTGATATAAATACATTGACTTAACTGTAGAAAAACAGATGGCGAATCTGGCCCTGGATTTCCCTGGATTTTGCAAAGACTCTTGCATTTATTTGCAGATCTTGTTGCTAGCAACCTCCATCAGTGCCGAGGTCTCATTGGCCTGGATAAATATGTAAAATCTTTTAATCTTTAAAAAAATGTAACCCAATTTATTGGAAACCTATTTTGACWTGATGCTAAGGCATGCTAGTCACTTCTAGTCAAGTCTAAAAGACCTGGAAGAACAGTTCAGACTATTAACTGATCTTTTTATTCCTACACAGATGCAATCCTTGAACGAAGATAAGAAAATATTTTGATAACTTCACTTAAACTGTCTCCTCCCCCTCCCATTCTTTTAATGACTGTGGACAGAGGAGAGTTATTTAATGCCAGTGGGGCTCACTCCTGTCACACTGATGGCAGGAAGGTGGCTGTGCTGGGCCCASACTGGGCTCTCTTTGAGCACACATACTCCCCTGTTATCTCAGCAATCATGAAGAAGGTGCAAATCACTGATGCTACACAGAGCTTCCTCCTGGCTTGGTTCTGCTCCCTCTTTCTGTTCTCATAGGCCTGTGAGTAGTTGTGACAGTGATATGCTGGATTAGCTTCTGTGACTTCTGCTTCCTGCTGCTGCCTCTCTTCATTTGAATTCCTCTGAAGCCAGCTCATCCTTTGGGACAGAAAGAAACAGAAGGTTAAGAAAGAAAAGCCCTGGTTATTTGGGTGTCTAGCCCTACAGCCCCAGAAACGATGTAATTAATGCTTTCAAAGGATAAAAGCAGCATTGGGAACAGCAGAGAAGGTCGTGGAAGAGGCTTGCTCTCAAAARCAAGGCTCTGTGGGAGGGAGCTGCACATGAAATGAGTGTTCTGACTGTGTTTCCCAGCTCTTGGGTCTCTCCTACATCATTTAGCAGTTTATGAAGCTCAGGGTGGCTTTCTTAGGCTGTGTATTTCATGCACACCATATGACTTTCAAAAAGTTGTACCTCATGCAAATTGCTACCAAATTCAGCATAACATGSAGAAAATTCTACTGAAAAATTCAGGATTTTATTCCCAACAGCTTTGTCAGGAAGACTAGTCAAAAAAGCCCCCAAACTTTTTTTCTTAAATATAATCAGATAAAGATTTATTCACACAGAAGATCTTTTTTTCTCAAATTTCTACATATGTACAAAATCTACCAATATTCCAGAAGAACCTGAGCATAGAAAATATTATCCAAAAACTCTCAAAGGCATTTAAAAAAAATCAAATAAATCCATTCTCCATAATATGTTGAACCCTTTGCCACTGATTTTGTGGAAAAGTGAGAAGTGCAGCAGAAGAGGCTGTTTGATCATTGCTCCATCTCAAGGTGATTTCTCAGCCCAATCTGCTCTGCCACAAAACCTCAGTGTTGTCCCTGGCAATGTTCCTGCACAGGAAATACGGGGTGGGGGTTGAGAGATCCGGGTCCAGCACATTGCATTGCACCCATGGAAGGTCCTGGGTGACTACAATGCCTGGGGCTCTCACCACAGCAACCCAGAGACTGGGATTTTTCTATASGTACTATGCTTGCATTAAGCAGAAGCAAAGCTGATTGTGGAACATAAATAATCTCCAACACAACATTCTGAGCTTATTTTAAAATAGTGCTAGAATTCAGAGAAAAAGAAAAAAAAATTATGTTAAGATTTTACAGAAACTTTAATGTACAAACCAGGGGAGGCCCCAAGAGGGCTTGGTGAACAAGGATGTTCCCTTCTCCTTATCTCTCAGCAGAAAAGATGGCAAAAAAACCCTGTAAGCCCCCTCCAGAAAGCTCACTTTAAAACTATCCCAATGCAGTGCTCCTTGCCAGAGCTACCCCAAATGTGATTACTGTGTATTGTAGCACTGGAAGATGAATTCTGCCAAGATGCACATAYACAATATCCATATAAGCAGATGTTCATCTGTTTGAGGTCTGTGTGTGCAGGGGCTACCCAGGAACGCAGCAAACTCCACGGCTTTTTACCCAAGTCTGAAATTAGGCTGGGGGCAGGATGTGGCACTGGGCTTAGATGCCCCAGTAATAATAGTGGATTTCCCCATTTTGAGTTTAGACTTTCCTCTGGGACAAGGAAGAATTGTTTCTTCAGTTGACTGAAGGAAACCTGTGCTCTGGAAAGCAACATGAGTCCTGGTGACTTTCTGCAGTGTTTCTGCACTGTTTATAGAAGTGTCAAGATGCCTAAAATCTCACTGGAAACAAATCAGCTGGTGGCTGCCAACCTGCAGTAGTCAATGTCAAGAAAAAAACTRTAATGAAATCACAAGCCTTTTCCAGCTGCTTTTTTTGGGCAGCCTGAGGGGGCTGCAGCTGCTCAGCAGGTCTGAAGTCCTGCCAGATGCCCCACACTGGTGGGCAAGAGGCAAAGGCACCTGCAGAGCTGTGGATGCCTTGGCCTTTTATGTTCATCAACACCACAGAAGTACTGGCGAAAGAAGAGCTGACCCAAGCCCTGCAAMTGTAGATAATCAGTATGGATTTGGTTTTGTAAATATTATTGAGATGTTCCAAGGGTGCCACGTTCCCCTGAGTCAGCCGTGTTTGCAGCCAGGTTAGCATGTGGTGTCTGTTTGCCCAACTGAGGTGACTGATTCCCCTGTACGTGAGGAACTCGTGTGAAAGAGCAACTGGTCAKATTTAATGCCTGATGCTTGGAGACAGTGAGTTTTCTTAGTCCTTTTGTCAGCATTTTCCTTTATTTTCCTCACAACAACAAATAAGTGGGAATGTCTGGGGAATGGGATGCCCGTCTGGCAGCTGGSGTCCCCACCAGCCAGTCCTTCTCCAGTCCTTTAGTTTTACATTTATCATGATTCTCATGTGCACTGTGTCATTTTTGTACAATATTTTCCTGATGAATTAGACACAGAAGGTACCACAAATTAATTCCTTCCAGATGGCTGAATAAAATGCTGTAGTTCTCTCACTCTCCCCTGGAGATCAGGGCAGGCAGGATTTTCTTTCTCATGATCTCTCTCTGGAGTTACTTCCAATGCTTTTCTATGGTTTGCATGTAAAACTAATTTCCCCTTACCTCAATTTTCATCAGCTGGCATTGAACATTAAAATCATCTTAATGACATGAGTCACGATCAGCTCAACAGCCTGTCAGGGCAGGAATGCCAAAATTACCGCTGCATATTCTGAACCACCAAATCCTTTCTTTGCTGCTAACAAAATAGGTTGCTCTGTGATCTCACTCTCTTTTTTTTTTTATTTTTTTTTTTTTTTTTTTTTTTTTTTTTTTTTTGGTCTTGAAGTCTCTCTGTCAACAGACAAAGCCTCAGGGCATCACTGACGGGCAGGAAAGCACTGTCCACAGATCTCGCTGGACAGATGCAAAAGCAAACAGGGACAGCATAAACCCACAAATGTCACATTTCTATGTCTAAAGGGTACCTAAATAAAAGTGCCCCAGTTGCCAGAGCATTTTCTGCTCCCTTTGGTGAGCATTTTCTGCTCCCTTTGAATTTGCAGAACAGCATCTGGCCTGATGAGTTGGGAAAACTCCTGCCAGCTTCTGTGCATGACCATTATTTTTCTCTTTCAAAAGCTGCCTGCCACTAATTAAAAGAATCTAAGAATCTAAGAGGCACTTTTATAAAAGCACGAATCAAAAGCCTAAGGTGCAAAGATCAGCTCTGTTAGACCAGAAACCCCTGCATAGTGTTTTATAGCAAGATGTAGCCTTTGAGCATCAGATCTCCATGCCAGCATATTGCAGAGTCACAGATTAAAAAATAATCTTTTCTCCATTTCAAATTCTCTTTCCTTTATAAAAATGATAGTCAGGGGAATGTCACAGAAGGGCTCCTACTGAGTCATGCCCAGAAGGGGGAAGCAGAAAATATTAATACATATTGCAAATTCCACACAAATCATTAGAAATAGCTTTTTATTATAACTTCCTTTTTGTTTATTTTCACTTGATCTGCTGGGTGCCTTGATCTGCAGGCTTACGGGAATAATTGCCATCCTCCTAGACCATTATGAGTTCCCCAGTCAAAAGAGGAAAATGTGGAATCACTGCACTTTCCACAGGAGATCATCTCCTTCATGAGGCAAAATAGTAATTTTCTGGTGCCTGAAAGGATAATGAAACTGCTTTCAGAGAAAAATTTATCAAAGCCATAGTCACATCCCGTATGCTGGCACCATTCTGATTTCAACTGATGTACCAATCTGAAATATTTCCAAGGCATTTACGACCCTGTTAATAGCCTGCTTGTCCAGTTTCTCCTTWTCCTTACTGTGGGCACAAAATAAAGGCAAATATTCATATATTTGCACACCTTTAGATGTAGATAGGAGTTCATGCCTTGGTTGTTTTATTTGGCCTCATTTTGAGAGCCAAGTCCTGTATGCATAAATGTATTGTCAGTGAATTTCCTTCTACATAACAGGGTAACAATAGCTGCCTGGAGACAGACCAGAGGTGCTTGTAGCCAATATCCAAATTCTGTCAAAAGCATGAGGTAACACAGAAGGTCAAAGTACCAAAGAGGAACATTCCCAGAGAGTTACCACTCCCCAGCTCTGAACCGGAGCTCCTGCCRAACAGCCCTTTACAGATCCTTATTSCACAAGCCCAGCTGACTTGAAAGTGTTGAGTTCCACGATTTAATTATGATGTGTGTAAAAATAATGCGTCTTTTGTCACTCTGAAGCTGTCTGCCTGCTATTTTAATTAGTTCTTACACTGTTAGAAATAAGGAATGACTATTCCCTGTTTACTTTCATCACATCATTCATGAGTTTATGTATCACTGTTATACCTCTGAACCATCAATTTTCTGAGCTGATGCCCGAGCTATTTGATTTCTCCTTCATACCACTCACTATCCTGGTTCTAATTTTCATTCTGAGATGAAATGGGCAAAACTGAAGTGGGCATAACGGAGATGGCAAATGGCCTGTACTGGGCACTGCCCTCTCTGCAGGGTCCTAATGTCACCTGCAGGGGCACAAAGGCAATGGGATTGGRTGTGCTGGGACTGCTAAAATACTCTGTGCTCCTGGGAGCAGCTGGCAGGCAGTACAAAGGAGATACACCACTGTGCCATCAGCTAAAAGAGTCCAGAAATCACAAGAAACACCTATAGCCTYCCTGAGCATTGACTCTGTAATGGATAAGGAGTGGAGGAAAGCCTTTATTTGATGAGGACTCTTTAATCTCATAAGAGTTTTCATATTGCCTGCAGGAAGGGGCAAAAATTTGAAAATATTCCCTATATTTTGCTATAGAAAATCGGTCTTCACCTGAAGAAATCATCTCCCAGGTTCACTTAAAACTTTTTGCTTGCTGGTAKGAGCCTGGCAGAGAGGAATCAATTATGACTCTGACACCTATAAATAGGAATATCTACAGGTCATGTTAATGCCCTGGGTTAAAAACTTTCACATGAAGACAAACAATAACATTTTCATACAACTTTCCTGCTTTCAGCATTGCCCAGCCCTGCGTTTTTTTCCCCACTTTGCCTCTTGTCTCAGAAACAAAACAAAATGCTTAAAGCCTTAAGTTTCACGTGTGATGGTATTCAAAATCCTACTGTAAAGACTTAGAAAGAACATAGTAAGAAATCCATGCTGATTAACCCAACTCTAGCTCATAGTATAGCTGGCACAATCAGATGCAAATCCACTGATATATGACAAGGGATATTGAATATTTCTGGTCAATATTACACTGATCTGTTGMCAGTAAGAAATTAAATAATCTGGCTTGCCTTCATTCATGGAACCATCATGAATTTGGTCAAGTCATTACCAAGACTGTGATAATCAGTTATCTAGATCACTATATATGTGATTAAAAATAGAGAAAATAGCCTATAAATTATTAACTATTAGAAAAGCTTATATACTTATACTATAMGTTGACTGTGAAAAGACCATAGGAAACTCTTAGACACCTAATTCAGACCCAATTTAAAGACACATGATATATGTTGACTTACAGACAATACTTTTTGCATGAATCAAGAGGTTCTGAGTGCTCAGCTTCAGACCCTCTAACCATTGTGGTTCATACCCTTCCTGAGTCTGATGTGGTGCCCTGTGTGAGACCCATCCTGTGTGRTGCCTTCCTCTGCTGCCTGGAGCAGGAGGTGCAGTGCACCCTGATCACGTTGGCAGATCAGCCTGGAGGTGCAGSTGACAGAAGGGAGGGCAAGGCTGCCACAAGGAGTCTGGAGAAAGGGCTCAACCAGAGCCAGCTGTAATTTCACAAGAACAAATGTAAAGTCCTGCACCTGGGACAAAAAAGATTTGTGACACCACATCCACAAAATTGTGTCCAGCTTTGGGGTCCTCTGCTAGGAAAGATCAGTAAGCCAGTGCAGGTTCAGCAGAGGGTGACCAGGATGGTTAAAGGCTGGAGCATTTCTGTGAGGACTGGACTTTTCATCCAGGGAAGAAGTGACTTCATTAGCACCTAGGTGCAACCTCTTGAGGGATCATTGACAAGATGGAACTTTATTGTTCTACATGGGGGAAGGAAGAGGTCATTGTTCATAAATTGAAAAAAGTTCTGATTGAATATAAGGGAAAATTAAATTTTAAAAAGGCTCTGAAGTTAATTCTGTATTGAAGCAGAATGCCCTTGAAGGCTGTGGAGTGTCTATCCTGAGACACTTTTTTTGAGACTAGACTGGAGACAGCCCTGAGTTTATTTAATCTCTTGGTTGGACCAGAGACTTTCTTAGGGTCCCTTCCAATGTGAATTGTACTACAAACCTACCACTGATCTGACTTTCAAAGGGTTCAGTGAAAGTCCACCCCTTTGTAAGCATTTCAAGTTCAACATGAGAAACCTTAATGCATCCAAACCCTCTAGTGACTATAGACAGGCCTGGCATGTGCAAAACACTCGCCCCTACAGCCCTGAGAGCAGGGAAAGGGGTCAGCTTTCAGATTTCTTACTCACATGGTCAAGATAAAACTGGTTTTGTTCCCTGTGTACTATGATGATGGCATTTATTAGAAAGAAAGAGGCTGGAGGATGGCTAAGAAATAGGCAATCTGTGTGCAAAWGAACAGAAAAATGTGGTAATTTATRCCAAGGCTAAGATGAGCTTATTGCTACTACTGGCCTAAGACACCTGCAGTGTGCAGGCAGATGCTCTGTGTAAGTACAGGCCCAGAGGGCTGGCACCCTGGGCCACTGAGCTGGCACCCTGGGCCACTGGGATGGCAGCCTGGGCCACTGGGATGGCAGCCTGGGACACTGGGATTGCACCCTGGGCCACTGGGCTGGAACCCTGGGCCACTGGGATTGCACCCTGGGCCACTGGGATTGAACCCTCGGCCACTGGGATTGAACCCTGGGCCACTGGGCTGGAACCCTGGGCCACTGGGATGGCCACTGGGATTGCCAGGATGGCCACTGGGATTGCCAGGATGGCATCCTGAGTCACCACCGTGGCACCCTGGGCCACTGGGCTGGCACCCCAAGCTGCTGGGTGCCATGGGGAGCAGGAGGGGTTTCCCTGTGCTACCAGCTCTTTCCAACAGGAGGGAAACTCTGGCTCTCAGCCCCCATTTCTGGTTATTTCTGGAACAGAGTAATTAGACTGTGCAGTTAATCAAATCTCATCTGGCAGAAAAAGAGAAATGGAGATGCAGCACAAAAGCCACGAGGCTGGATGAGAAGTCACCCTCATTTTGGGGAGATGTTACCATCTCCATCACTCAGCCACCTCAGGACCACCCCTGCAGAGCCCTCCTGGGCCCAGCCCTCCAGCTCAGGGGCTCCTGCACATTTCTGCAGCAACAGCTCAACAATTGCAATTGCAATTGCAATTGCTGCAGCAATTCACCCCATTCCTAATTTAAGAAATATTACCAGAAAAATTTAACTTCATTCCTAATTTAAGAAATATTACCAGAAAAAAACTTGACTCCTCCAGAAGCTGAGTCAGCTCTCAGATGGGGGGAGCAGCTGCCAGGGATTCTTGCCCCCAGTGTGCATCCTACCCCTCTTACCAGGGATATTCCCCATTACCAGTGATCCAGGGGGAAAAAGGCTTCCTCACAAAGCAACCTAACAACTGTCCCTGTCTCAGGGGACCCTACAATGGGTTTATCCTTAGTAATCCCTTATGTCCAGAGGTTGCMAGGGGCTAAAGAACCTCAAGCTCTGAAGCTGTGCCCACAAAATTGCAAACTTAAAAAAAAAAACAAAACACTGAGTGTCTTCAAAAACTAAAATGAACAGCGGAATCATATGGGATCTTTTTGAAATATAAATATTACCACAGAAGTAATTTTGGACAGTGCCATTTATATTTATGGAGCCATGTAATAATATTTAAATAATAATCCAGACATTCAAACTACWAAAACACGATGGCAGTGACCCCAGTATAAGAACATGAAGAGACAGATTTCCATTTGAACTGACAATGTTTAYGCCAAGTTTCTGTCCCACATGTTTTAAGAAAGCCAAGCAACAAATAACCTGAAAACCAATGAGATAATGGAAATGTCAAGAGGTGCTAAGCTGTAACTGAGCAGCTATTTTCTTTTAAAAATACTTGCTAGTCTGAGTCAAGAGGAAGAATGAAAACAAGTTAAACTGCAAAACTATTTTTTGATAGACATTTATACTGATTTTTAACCCAATCTACAGTACATCCCATGTTTTCAAAGGATCTTTCCTTACTCGAGCAAGCATTTATTCACAGGACCTCTGGCACACAAGAGGTACATTAGCTCKAAGTCCAATAGACTACCCACAAGAATAAAGCATCACCTTTCTTTCAAACCAAATGGATAATTTAGACATTCAAGCATGAAGGAGCCTTGAGTCAAACATGGTGTCAATAGCACCATTATAATTCAGCCTAAAATTGCAGCATAATCCATGAGGTTTTGCATCCTACAATAAATCTACTAAGCTTATAAAATACATAGCAGGAGACACTTGCTTCAACAGTAGATTGGTTCAATCCATCACAGACACAGACACATCAGAGKGCTGTCTAGTAAATGCTTCAAATATCTAATAAGAAAGTTTGGGAAGGAAAAAAATGAACAAAACATTTTAGAAGTAGTAAAATGTAYGCACACGGTGAAACTCCCCAGACTTTAACTCCTGAGGCCAGTTGGCAGATTGGTGATCTGATATTGCTCTGACTCAGAAATGGCAGTGAAGGAAACAAAGAGTTGTGTTACCTGTCTAGGGCCAAGGAGTACTTCTTGGTGTCCCTCTCGCTCACAAGACAAGCTCTTTCAAGACCCTTCTTAGCAGCCATGAGGAAAGTCGATGGGGTTTTGCTAGGTTTTTCCCTTTAAACTCTTTTATCTCTGTCTGAAGCGATATGGGCAGAAATGTCCTCTCGACTTACGCAGAAGTCTCCACCAAATGAGACTTTGAATGAAAATGTTCTAATAATCTTCTCAATAAACCCACTGCGAGAGAAAGCTGCTTTCCTAGTGCTGGTGGCGTCACCACCATGCCAACCAGTAACTTGCTGAGCACATCAGATTGGACATTTCRGGCCCCCCTCCCTGTTTTTCTTTTTTTCCCCTCCATGTTTGATGCTGGAACTGCTCTTTGGTCATGCAGAAGGTGCGTGCTGTCCCAAACACAGGCCTGGGGTCCAGCACAGCAGAGCACACACTGATGTGCACAAAGGCACTCACATGGATGCTCTGAAAAAGAGAAGGAGGTGATTAAAACAGCCTGATTTGCCTGGAAACAGTCAAACCCCTGTTTGCCTTTCTGCTTGCTTGGCTTGGGAGGAAAGTAAACCTCCCTCACTCTAGCTTTGTGCAAGCCTTTTAATCTAAGCAAGCACTCTAAAGACTGATTTCTACCCCTGGCATGTTCTCTCCTAATGGTTTGAAACAGAAGAGGCTGCTTATTATTGCCATTTGCAGCACAGGTTATTGAAATCTTCATTTCAGCAGGAAAGTCTGCAGGTTGTTATTTCTGCTTTATTCAGTTTGTTAGTTCTATTGACAGCTGWGGTCCCTGGAGGGGAGAACCCTCCAGCCTCACCTCGCTCACAGCCTGACCTCAGACATTTGCTTCAGCACTAATGGGGAATTTTGTGCTGGTGCTGTCTGTGCTTTACCATATTATTGGCAGAAGCAGACTGTTACTGAGAACCCTACCTGTGCACTGTTTTCACAGGAGMAATTAGAACAAGGCAGTGGGCAAATGTTGGGGGCTGCACGTAAATTCTGCAGCCTTTTTTTACCATGGGTGCTCTAATATGAATCTGATGAGCTGGGATCTCCCCTTCCTCCCCCCAGCTTGCAGAACACATACTCTGACTGAAATTCATGGGGACAGGTGGCACATTTGTACATATAAATGCAAACAATTTTGCTTATCCCATCAGAGATCCACATGTTGCCTCCCACACGTCAGCTGTGCAAACATTTCYCTGGAACCTGTGAACCAAGTGAGTATATCTCAGGCAGTTTTCTGAACAGCCACAGCAGAAAATCTGTTGTCACTTTTGCCTCTCTAAAGCCCTTTTCTTGAGAGCCTTTTCYCAGGCTCTAATACCCACCTATGCACCCTTATTAGGTAGAAGAGATCAATTTTATGACTCATTCCTGAAACGTCCTATCTTCTCCTAAACTGTAAAAGTTTGCTTTTTAATGTTTTTTAAAGCTGATGCCACTTAGTGGACCTGAGGATGTGTTTGTCTGTCAAGGTTGGTTTGAGAAGAGGCTCAGGCCCAAGGATTCATAGCACAAACCTGGGCCATTTGCAGAAATCTTACAAAACAGAAGTGCCGCATTATTCATCACCTCAGAAATGCCATTATGTAGCAATTTTATTCAGCTGCCAAGAAAGAGTGAGGGAGGAAAAAGAGGTGGCCTTTCCATCTGTGCACCCTGGAACCTGACACAGGCTTATAATTCATGTCCAGTGAGAGATTCTGCTGGCTCCCCATCCCATAAATGTCATCATTATTGCAATGTCTTTGTGAGTGTCTCAACTTATCTTTTCTTTCCTGACCTGGAACCTGATTTACAATGGATGTCAGCCTTTCTAGGGTGCTAAGCCAAAGTATCAGGTCTAAGCACCYTCAATTTAAGGAAAATTTAAAATCCAACTCAGAAGATTACAGATAAAGCCAATTTCTGTCTCGAATCACTGTAGGCATGTAACTTTTGTTAGTGAGATAGATGAGTTTCCATCGTTTTGCAAAAGGGTCTTGAGCCTCAGGTGCATACCAGCAAAACGAAGCCATAGATCATTCACAGCATTTAATCTAGACTTATGTTTTGTGTTTATTATTGTCAGTGCTGATGGTTGTGCTTCTCAGGAGACAGGCTGTGAGGCAAGATAGAAAGAAATCTCTTCAGAGCTTTCCACAAAGGCTTGGTCTTCCTCTTTATACAGACTCTGAAACTCATTAAGAGAGAGACAGCAGCTGTCTGTGGAATTTCTGTTTCAGAAAAATTATTCAGACCATCTCAATAAATTCATCTCAGGCTTTCAATAATAATGCAGTTTGTTTCTGAGCCTCCATTAAAAATGACACAAATCCAATCATACCAGTTTTAATGACCCTAGTCAAGGACATTTCTCAAGATTTGCATCCGATACAGACATGTGAGGCATCACATTGGCTTTTGCAATTGAAAGCTCCTTGTCATTATTATCCAAAATCTCCATTAGTAAAAAAGCATATCCTTGATCCCATTTCAACTTTAATCAGCTACACTTTAAATATGAAAAAAAACCCCAACCTCTCTCATCCTGTCATTATGGGAGTAGATACTGACAGCTTAAAYGTACAGAGGAAAAATCAGTGCCTCTATTAATTGAAAATGCCACTGAAGTCGATCATTTTTATGAGCCATGAGACATCTTAAAGATCATCTGCAAAGTTCTTCTCTACCTTTCTCTGGCATCAGCTCTAGTAGCTCTGCACTGCACCACCTGCAACCTAGGAATCCAGGCATTTGTGATTCTGAGGCTTGGTTACTACAGTTCCTATATTTGTAGGGAGAATATGCTTTTTCACCCAGGGAAGCTCCAGTGCCTTCCAGCCATCTGTCATTTTAGGAACCA